TTACAATCCCTGGTATTGGAAACAGACAAATCTAATTCTAATTGAATGCAAATCAAATTAGGAAATATAAGAATATCAATAAATAAAAATGCACACAACAACCGCGACTGTAAGAACCTACACCGTTAATTAAGGAAGTTAATTAATTAATTATGTGAAATTAAGAAATAATTCTATAATTCACCCTAGTAATTATGATAAGGCTTAAATAATATTGGTAAGTGATTAATAATGCAGAAAGTCGCTTTTCTAACGAAAAGTGCAGGTACCAGTTCTGCTACTCGGTATAAATGCGTACCAATGGAGTATCCCAGAAAATTATAATAAGTGCATGATTATTCCTAGAATAATATGTAGGACTGTGATTTCAAGTTTCAAGTTAAAATAATGAGAACTAGTGCCAAAACTGATACTGGCTATGGAAAAGCGCGTACCAGAAAGGTGTTGCGAAAAATAAAATAAAAATATGAAAAATCTTAGAAAAATGAGTAGGTTCAGAATCCAAAGTTTGGGATTAATATGCTAAGCGTAGCTATTAGTACTAATACTGTGTGTTTAAGACTTAAACCTCTATATATGTGCATTTTTGGCCTAAAACCCTAGGCCATACACTCAGAATACGTGATTTGGAGGCTGATCAGCTCCCTCCTACTATTCCATTACTTCCTCATCCTTTTTGTGAGCATTGTGACCCCTTTTCTTCCTTTTCTCTTCACTTATACCGTGTGTGAGTGAGAGGGGATCATTGTGAGTGTGAAAGGGAGCTCTTTTCTGGATGCTCAACCTCTGTTTTGGTTGTGGTGGGGCTGAGTTTCTTTGTTTTGTGTTGGGATCCATCTCCTTGATTGTGGGAGCTCCAAGGAGTGATCTTTGGTGAGAAGAACCAACCTTTGGTGTGCCATTTTCGTTTGCCTTCAAGTCAGAACTGTAGAGGCAGTGTGGTGAGCTCCAAGAGCCATTGTTGCTCTGTTTGAACCTTGGGTAAGTGTTACCAACCTTTGATAATGAGTTTTAATAGGTAAAAATGGAGTCTTACCATGTTTAATAAGTTAAACAAGTAACCAACGTGATAACTGGTCTAAAGGAACTTAAAGACGCATGCTTTAACGTTTAGATGTGTTAAAAATATAACCTTTGGAGTGATATCTCGCGAAATGCAGAATCTGCAATCTGTCGCGAAATATCCGGATATGAGGTCTCTGATATCCGGAGATGGGATATCCGAATATGTCCCCGACATATATCCGAATATTCTGGGTTTGCGTGAACAGTAACGGTACTGTTCATACATAACTGTGTTTGGGGTTTGTCGTCTTTAGATTGATTAAGTTGAACATCTGTAATGATTAAACTAAGTCAGAATCAAGTAATTAAGGGCTTGTGACTTTGTGGAAGCCTAAAGACATGAAACGTAAAGGAAAGACATTGTCTTTATGTCTTATGCTTGGGGAGTATGATTATTGATATGGTGCTGGTCCAAAACAGATTGTGATTTTGCTGTGTTTGGGCTTTGAGATTGGTTGGACTCTTGGCTGGATTGCTAGCTTGCAAGGTAAGCTTTCGTGTCCTCGGTTTAGCCATTGTTTGTTCCACCATATTCCATGAGGGGATGATTTATATGCATGATGTGTTTATATGATTTGATAATTGAAAACGTTGTTGAGCTTTATGTGCAAAGACTTATAATATGTATGTGTTGTTCCACTTTGACGGTAAGCCTGAGTATGTGGCGTCATACAAGACGGTGACACTATGAGTGTGTGCAAGTGGCGTCTTGCACTAGTGTGGGTAATAGACGTATTTCTGCATTTCTCTGGCGAGTAGATTAGTTATAACACACATGACATGATTATCTGTTGCATTGCACTAATTTTGGAACTGATATTGAATTACTGCTTTTAGAACTTATATTGCACATGTAAGTCAGCTTGGGCTGGAAGATCCTTGAGGACCCCTTGTCTTACTGAGATTTTTGTTTAGAGATCTCACCCCACGTTTGGGGCACATATTTTAGGTTCAGGTAATGCGGGGGTTGAGACCTCTAGCGGCAGGAGGCCGGAGCTTAGCTGATATTTCTGCTTATGCTGTTTATGTTTGGATGCTGGATGATATTGTTGCTGTTATGTTATTAGTTTCATGTTATGGATCTTTGAGCTAAGACTCTGTTGATTATGTTGCTATTTGGTGAGCATGGGGATTGTCCATGCCACATTGACTTAACTTTATGTTTTTAGTTCGAAGTTGTATTAATGTATCAGGATATTGTCCATGCCATATTGTCCGGACTACGTGTTGTAGATCCGTGACTTAGATACTCACTTATTTATCTATTGAGGTATTTCAGTTAGCTGTTTTTCGCAATTTACATACATGCAATGTTTTGGAAATGAATTAAGTAATTCAACTTGGTAATGATGATGACGTCATAATTAAAAAGAAAAAGAATATTCCGCATTTTTAATTAAGCGTGACTTAATACGATGGCATGTTAACAAACCGGATATACACGAAGTGTTACAACGATATTCTAGGATCCGGACCCAATACTGGTTCCACCTCTGGATCTAATTCTACCAAATCTCGCCAGGTCAAACTGGATTTCCCAATATTCTCCTGCAATGATCCAACCACTTGGATAGTCGCTGTTGAACAGTTTTTTCCTTTCTACCAAGTGCTTATTACTGATCGATTAAATTTGGCTGCATTTCACTTGGACAACCCTGCGGATAGCTGGTTTTATGGCTTTGATCAAAATGATTTGATGACTGATTGGAGAATATTTTGCTCGGAATTACAATGCCGGAGAATATTTTATACGGAATTACAATGCCGTTTTGGGCCTTCAGAGTTTGATTCGGAAGTGCAACATATAGTGAGGCAATAATCAATGAAGGCTAAATTATAGCTTTTGCTTCCTCTTTTTTCAAATAATAAATTCAAAAAAAATCATAGTAACAATAAAATTTGTTACATGAGATAAATAAATAAAAATAAAGAGCAGACAAAAATTACTCTTCAGAATGTCATCGTAATTATTTTTCACTGATAATACTGAAGAACCTTTAAATTATGGGTAATATTTTTCTTATGTTACATAAAAAAAATATTATCTCTTACACTCTTATTTTTCAAATGAATCTCACAAGAACTTTTCTCTCTCACCTCCAACTCTTTTCTCTTTCCTATTTATTGTTTGAGTAGAAGATAATACTTTTCTTATACATCATAAGAAAAGTATTACCCTTAAATTATTTCTAATGACTCGAGAGAAAGCTATTGATAATTACTTTGAAATTATTTAAGGATAAACTATCACTAAGCAGTAAAAAGGTTAGATAAAAACGTTTAGTTTCTCCTGACGTACAAAAGATAACATTATCTCACGTGATCACAAAATGAAATAGTTTTGGGGTTGGTGGAAAAAATTTAAGCCTCATAAATAGCCACCACCATAGCACGCTTTTTCATGCTAGTTCTTCTCTTGGGTCTCGATGTCGTTGTTGTCGGCGGCATCCCTGCATGCTAGTTCTTTCCACCTTTGACACATCTTTCTTGAAAACCTGGCGTGCGTGAAGTAATGGCTGCACAACATCAACGTCTCAAGGCACATCTACACCAAGAAGACTATAACATGAGCCATTTGGTTAAGCATGGTCAAAGTTATGCAACTCACAAGGCAGCTATCCTATATTGACTTTTGCTTGTGAGTTAGCCACATTCACAGAATTATGTTGCGCTTAGTTATCATAAAAAGTATACAGACAAGATGCATACAGGACATTACAAAGACGATGCTAACAGAGGGAGTTTTGTACTACACAGGTCAGATCCACAAGGTGAGTGGCAGGGATGATGTTGGTGGTAAGATGGACTCCATGGATTTTGGAGAGGTACAAAAGTGATCCGCATGAATTAATTTTGCGGAAAATGTTGGGGTTTTTACCCTTCAGAGAAATAATAAATCTTACATAAAATCCCTAAATTTATGACAAAACCTCCAAAGTGACTCTAACCAAAACAAATGTATGCAAAATATAGATTCCTCAAAAATATTTTGGATAATGGATATACCTCAAAGAATTCAAAATGTCAATTCTTTAGTAGTGAGTTGCACCCCTTTCTCCTTAAAACATTTTCCTTAATTAGCTACTTCTAAGAGAACGAAAATGGGTTACAACTTTAAAGTTTCATCATTTTCAAAGGATGTTTTGAAATTTGATAGAAGAGTAAAAAAAATGAGAACAAAGGTGGTACAATGAAGTAGATCAAGTGAAGTTGAAGAAAATAACGAAAATAAACTTTCGTCGATGAAATATCAGTCCATAAATCATACTCATCTTGAGGACTCGGAAGAAAGGGCAATGGAAGTGATGAGCATATAATAGATGTGCATCGAGGTTAACTTCTTCCAAGATGGAGATTCCGAGTTAACTCATTCTTTACTTCGTTGTTGTTTGTACTTGTGTGGTTATACTTTTTTTTATAGATATACACAATTGTCATTCACAACTAAGACCTCATGCAAACTACTTAAATTTCTTACCACTATACCAATCATAATGACTTACGGTACACTTCTTAAGTCTGTCCACGTTTGAAAATATATTTTTACCACTAATTAAATTTTCTTTTTTGTCTTTATTTTAAAAGGTTATGTTTTAAGGTGCATAATAATTCACCTCCTCTAGTTGCCATTGTATTCAAAAGAAAGTTATTGCCTAAACATAACATGGTTCATAGATAATGCAGGCTGAACATTCATGCAAGTAATAAAACAACTCAAATTACACTTCAATGCTGATCAATTTGCAGTCCCTTAAAATGGTAAAACAGTAACAATTTACCAAACCAACCAAAATTTAAATTCAAAAGGAAAGCAAGATAAATATGAACAAGAAAAACTCTGATTGATCAATTTCCTGACCAACATCTATTGTCTTGAATAGTACGATTCCATTAAGGTTGTTCCCTGACCAGATTTGTGTACCAAGATTTGCCTTTTAGTATGATTCCAATCCATGTTGTTGTACACTAATCCCAGGAATCTGCAAGGAAAAATTTGATGCTGAATCAAACCATCCAAGCTTTTCCACGAGTTTCTTCACCAGGTCACCAGCTAAGTAACAAAGCACTGAAGCCACAGCTGCAGTGCTAAGATAGTAAAGCACTGTTTGTAAGTAAGTCAAATAGTTATTTGATCTTTGAATATACGCTTTGGCAATGGAAAGCAGTGTGATGCATAGTAGAGAAGCTCCCGCAACAGCTACCAACTTGAAATCCTTGTCATTACTCTCACGGAATGAGAAGCCATATACCAACGGTGGCACTAACCCAAAAACAATGAATGATAAAATAGCAATAAAAGCATGAAGAATGAAATTCTCCCTCTGCCCCAGTAATTCATTGTATCGATCCACTGGTGTGTCATTCTCAACTCTTTTGGGTTGCTCAGCTTTCAGTTCCCCAAGCTGCAAAAACGAATGCAATTAATAATAATAAATATATAGGATTGTTACATTTTAGACATATTTGGATGAGTCTCAAAAATGTCAATATAATTCTCTTTTTCTTGGACACGAACTTAATTCTTCAAATACAAATCAAAAAGAAAAAGAAAGGAGAAAATAGTGAAATAATCGCATTGTCACTCTCATTTAATTGTGAACTCTTTGAAAGATTAAAATATCTATTAGAGTTCAATGGCTAAGAACTTTATTATTTTCCAATTATATTACATGGTTGAACATAACTCTTGTTAATTCAACAAAGGAGTTCAAAAGTTAAATATTATATGGGTTTGATAATAAAATGTACATAACTAACTACGGCGGAATCTTAAAAATTTATATATTTAAAAAATATGCGAAATTAATTCCCACAAACTAATTAAGAATAAAATGAGTTATTGCTTGAAAAAAAAAACATAGATTAAATATAATTATTAGAAATCAATGATATTTTCTGTTTGGATTGCAAATCAAATGCATTTTAAAAGCGAAGAAAAGGCTTAGGCTCTACTTCCAAAAAAAACGAGAACAAAATATATACAAATGTAATTATTATAAGGGGATAATTATATTTACTACCAATTTAGTTTACTATCTGATTGGTTACCATTGGATCAATTTAAAATCAACTAAAGTTAATTTTATGGATTTTTCAACCGTTGTTTTTAAATTAATCTAACAGTAACCAATCAAGTAATAAGAGTAGTAAGTAATTCAAAAAAAAGTAATAAGAGTAGTAAGGCTAAATTGGTAGTAGATATAACCTTAAATGCATTTTAAAAGCCGAAGAAAAGGCTTAGGCTCTATTTCCAAAAAAAAAAGAGAACAAAATATATGCAAATGTAATTATTATAAGGGGATAATTATATTTACTACCAATTTAGTTTACTATCTGATTGGTTACAATTGAATCAATTTAAAATCAAGCAGAGTTAATTTTATTGATTTTTCAACTGCTGGTTTTAAATTAATCTAACAGTAACCAATCAAGTAATAAGAGTAGTAAGGCTAAATTGGTAGTAGATATAACCTTATATGATATATATTCTCTTCAACATATGATTTCTAGAAAAAATAAATAAATATTTTGAAGTTTGAAAAAACTTACATTGACTATATAGACTTCATTTTTTTTTTTTGGAGGATAATTACAGACTTCATTTACTCATAGATTATGTATAGTCGATTTGAATTTGCAAGTACTTCTCATTTTATAAGGCCAAAAAAGTAAACTATTATTGAACTTAAATGTTAAATTAAACTGTTATGTTAACTCGCTTGTAGTTTACCATAATGATTAAATAGCAACGGAAATAACAAGAAATCGGATTTAGGGGATGGGAGATAGGAAAAAATAAGCACGTGAGATAGCTAGGAAATAAATATTTTGGACGTATAACTTACATTATGACCAAGAGCGAAAAGTCCACCAATCAAGTTTGCAATAGCCAGCGCAACAATGTTCACTGCAAAAGAATGAAACTGTCATTAACTCTGTAAGGATGATTACCAAAATTTATGCATTAATTCCTCTGGAAACTTGCTTAATAATATTGTTAGTATGCACACTAGTAAACTTATTGCAGACATAATTCTTGGTAAAAAATGGTAATAGTTTGTATAACTCAAAAAACACAATACACATCCTTAATTAAAGAAAGAAGAGTGAAATGTAAGTATAAGGTCCTACATGTGGTAGCGCCAGCACTAGCAGCAGATGTCACAACACTAAGGCTTGCTAATGATTCAGTCAAACCACCATATACAATGCTTTTCAGAATTTCCAATTTCTTAGTACTTGCTGTTGCTGGTACAGGTGGTTCTCTACGAGTAAGAAGTGGTGTGCTTTCAGCAGGAACTTCTTGTTCAGGTAGCCCTGCCCAACAAATGTATAACATCATTCTATTACAATGAATTAGATTGATCATTTCTTACAATTTTGAAATAATGAACACTAAAATCGTTGAATTGCAATACGATGTCGCGAATCATTCGTTTTTCTATCATGAATCGTCAATCATATTGAAATATTACATTCAGAAACATAATAAAAAATAATTTAAAAATATATAATATCATATAAATTAGATCAAAATTAAGAAAGTTAAGATTGGAGTGTGATATGAAGCTTGATAGGTCAAATAAGTGGAGGCAGCCATTTAAGGCATACTGGCATACACATGAACAGTAAGAAATCACAATTTCATTTTGCATGGTTAGTATTCGGATCTGATTACATATATTCTTAAATAAATTTTGCTACTTAGAAAAATATAGAATATACACATCTATGAATAAAATTTCATAAGCTAATGTATTAGATACTGAATTTTTGTGGCATGTGTTCTCTTACTATTCATCTTTGAAATTTCATAGGTGTTGAATAATAAATTAGATTTTGATTTGTTGGGCTTAGTAGTTATTCGGTTCAATTTTTAGGAATATCTTTTAAAGTTTTTTTATCCCAATATCCAGACATCTATTTTAGATTATTCTATGAGAGTTCTAGAGATTAGTTTCACACACAATCATTAATGTTTAGACTAGGAGATTTTGAAAAAATTTAAAATATCTTTTATACATTTTAGATAAAAAAATTGTTGGTATAATCCTATCTTCTCCGTTGTATCAACTAAACAAAGAAAAGGATCGAATAGAAATAAAAATTAAAATAGCCTCTCATGCATAAAAACCTTTCAAAGTTTTCTTCTTTCTTAAATATCCTCCTCCCGGATAATAAAGACAAGGATTAAACTAGATAAATTATTCTTATCCATCCATAAGTTAAATATGTCATGGAGTGTTTTCTTGCAAAACTATATACAGTGGCGGATCTCGGTTCGGGCTAAATTTTAACAAATTATACTTATTTCATATAATTATATGATTATATAAATTTAGCTCGGGTTAAAATTATAATTTGGCCCGGGCTATAATTTATAATTTGACCCTATCTAAAGCTTAAAATTTTTTTGGTAAGAGATTTGGGTAAGTTGTATTAGGTTATGGGTTCAATTTTCACTTATATAAAAAAAATATCTTTAGTAAAATTAAAAAATATTTAATAAAATTATAATTCTTCTTGGTACTGCCTGCTCAAGTGCTTTGTATTTAATATAATTTAAATGAAAATGGTTATATTTACAAATTTTTTGTTTACAAACTACAGTATGTACTTCGAAAAGTACACTAGGTTACATACATACCAAAAAAAAAGTACACTAAGTTACATTATATATTTCTAAAAGTATATAGTATAATTTGAAAAAATTTGTAAAATTTTCATAAACGAATCATTCCCAATTTTAAATATATTATGATATGAACTAACTAAAACTAAGCAAGAGAAGTACACATGTAATTTCTTTTGGCCCGGCTCAAATTTGATTGAGCCCGCGTCTGCCACTGACTATATACCATGCCAACATAATTTCCTCATATTTCGATTTCATGACAAGAGTTATGGTAGTTACCTGGGGAGGGTTCGACTTTAACTTCGACAAGCTCTGGCAGTTTCGTGTCGGGAAAGTCAGTTTGAGGTTGCTTAGGTATAGTGGAAGGAGGAGCAGCAGCTATAACTCTCCAATCACTACTTTTTGTAGAGTCAGTTTCAGATTTTTTGGGTACAGAGGACTCTGAAGCACCACCTATAACTGCCCAATCATTCCAAAATTGTTTCTTTTTTGGTGCAACTTGACCTTTACCATTGTCTTTTGAGGTTGCAATCAAGTTCTTTGATGAATCTTGTGATTTCATGCTGTTTACAGGAATGCTTCCAAAACCTGCATATCAATCAAGGAATAGTCTCAACCCAAATGAGCTACGCAACAAATTAACCTGATAAGTGAGCTCGGACACCACATCTCAATCTAAAACTTTAAGATGTTAAATTTATGAGAAAAATGTGTATTATTTTAAAGGACGTAAAGTTATATCATTTTAAGTGAGAGAAAGAGATAAATTATGGAAGAGAGAGAGTGGACAAAAAAAATAAATGTGTGGATCTCACGTCTTTGTGAAAATAAAATGACATAAGTTATATCATTTAAAAGGACAAATATTTTTCCTTAAATTTATAGGTCATTTCCGTTATATTTTTCATGCCTAATTCATTCTTTTCCAATAAGGGACTTTATCATTCACGCTTGAATTTTCAACAAATATCAAGAAAATAAATTCTATATTGACAACAAAGGAAAAGGTCCCTAAGGATTACCTGTGCCATTGATTTTATCTTTTACTTCACTTGCTACTTTTTGTGGTCCTGTTTCCATTTCATCAATGATGTGCAGGGTTTGTTTTCCTGAGTCACCTGCAATGTTAATGTCCGATTTTGTGGTACCTTCTTCTACAGATTGATCAGGTTCTGGAGCCTCTTGTTGTGATGCACCTTTTACTGTTTGTTTAGGGTCTTCAGGCTCTGTATTGTTATTTGATAAACCATTCACTGATTAATTGATTTCATTTGCAGAAGAAAGGTAGACAGTGAAATAAGTTAGAATTAAACATTGAATAGACATAAAACAGTAGATGCTATTACATAAAAATTACATTGGAAGGAAATCATTCTGCAATCAAGAAGTAACAACTTCTGCTTAAACTTCAATCAACGGCCACTATTTTCCAAAATGGCCAGTAAATTTGAGACTTAACTCAAAATTGTGTTCATAACATGACATTGACATTCATTTTAAAATTAAATTATATATCTGAATTTATAAAAATGACTCTGTATTGTAACTTTTATTTAGAATGTAAGCTTAGTCAAATAGATTCAGCCAATACATTACCCTGATCATTTAATGCTCCATCCTCAGCAGAAACCCATCCAGAGAATAACCAACTACCTATTAAAACCAAAGAAGAATTTGTTGTTCATATCATTTTTTGATATCATAGATAAACTAATTAAGCACTATAAACTATTAAAATATATACCAATTGGAATGAGGAAACTGAAGCATGATGAGCATCTTATTGGATCAGTTGTTTGCAGAGGTTGAGTATGATCACTAGGCTGTATCAATTCATCCTTTTGAATGTAGACCTTTTGGATACAAGAATTGCAGTTGGGACAGTAGAATCCATGTGTTTGAGGTTTTTGAAATACACTTTCCAAATATAATTCTTGCCTTTCTTGCTCATTTTCATTCATGATGCTAACTGTTCCAGTTTCGGTTGTCACATTGTTCAAAGAAGTAGAATCCTCAGGAAGAGGAGGATCAGAAGCAGGTAAGATTGTGCTATTCTCAAAATCCTCATGTTGGAGGATCATTTCAGCATTCACCTGTGTTCTGATCACAAAGAAATTTTCTTTCTTCTCAGATTCATCTAACTCTAGGCCTCCACCTTCGCTTCCAGAAAATTCATTCTCACAGTTAATAGCAGAACCCTTGAATTATAGCTAAACATTTTAACAACCAGAAAACTCAAGAACAAAATGTTATCAGGGTAGTCACCAATTGGTCAAAACCCGTTCCTTGTTGGTTCTATTATTTTACATAAAATTGAATTTTAGCAATACATAAAGTAGCATGTACATTATTTACACTTCTTTGCTGTGAATGGATATGTTAGTCATATAAAAATCATTTATGAAATTCAAGGATAAGTTTTTGAGATAATTGATCTCCTCAATAAAACAAGAATTATGAAAACATATTTATCCCTCTTGAGTAGTCCGTACAATATTATATAAACCCTTCAAAATTTATGGAAGTATCAAATTATCATTCAGTCAAGAAATTAAACAATACTTGTATTTCATCTATTTATTTTAGCATTAGCCTAGATGATTGACCATTTTATCCTCTTTTAAAAATAATTTGTGATTTTGTCCCAATTCTCAAATTATATATTAACCTGCATTATTTTCTTAAATTATATATTAATCTATCTCGATTTGATCAAAGTTTGACGGACAACAAATTAAATTACTTTCTCAAATACATGAATCATTTACTTGAGTATCTGTGGATCAAAGTTTAATCAAATAAGTATAAATTGGTATATAATTTGAGAAGACGAGTAAATCTATATATATTTTTGGAAGTAGACAAACTGATAAAGAAGATATAATAGGAGAGCAAAATAGTCAATCAGCCATTAGACTCTTTTAAAACGAAAGGTTCACTTTAAATAAAACAATGAAAAAATTTCAATTATTAATGAAAAAAATTAACGTTTGATATTACACATCCATTTATAATAAACAATGAATTTGTTAAATTTACTCAATTGGTTTTTCTGATTAAGGGTTGAATTCCTTCATTTTTTTTTCCTCTAGAGTGAACCTCCACTCGCGTTATATGAAATCTTTGGAGAAAAAAGTAACATCTCTATAAAGATATATTACAGCTGACTAACCAATCACTAATCCCTACTTCAAAAAAAAAAAAAAAAAAAAAAAAAGGTGAACTAATGGCAATCTAAACTTCTATTTGAACACTATTAGCAAAGAAGAAGAACAATAGCTGAAGCATAACTCTAAGCATATAGTCAGCCTGTAAGAAATACAAGCTTCTTAGAAATTAATAATAATCATATCAGGAATCCTAATCTTCGATCATTATGTAAATTACTCGAGTGTAAAAGATATACTGTATTCATTTTTCTGTAACAGAATAATAAATTTTTTATTCCTAGATTGTTACCTTCAACTTCTATGCCCTTATTTGAACTGCTGCTTCTGCGGTGGAGGTCCTGCTTTCGTTTCAAGCCAGCTTCCTCAACCTCATTTTCTGCTTCATTCCATTGACTTACTGTAACTTCCATATTGCTTGGACACTCTTTTTTGTCACCTTTCACTCCTAACTCAATGAAAGGCCTACCTTAGTTTACTTTGTCTAAATGAAAAGCAAGAAATCAATTTATAGTTTGATTGTGAAGCCATTCAAATATTAGTTCAGATATGAATGCACATTTGACCAAGTGTGTAAAGTTGACATTTGAAATTTGGAAATGCATGTTATGGCATGGTAGTGTTGGTGTGGTGTTGGATAATTGTAATACATATGTAGCGTTGAAATATATAAAATCATTAATGTAGCATCACTGATCCAATAGTTTAAGCTTTTAGGTTGAATTGGTTCTTTATCAGAGCCGCCTCGCTCCTCGCCGCCCCCAACTTTCTTTCAAGTGGAATTTTTTGTTGCACAGGTAGGTGGACCTGTGCATTGTCCACACTTCAAGTCCAGTGGGCTCTCGTGTGAGGAGGGCGTGTTGAAATATATAAAACCATTAATGTAGCCTCACTCACCCAATAGCTTAAGCTTTTGGGTTGAATTGATTCTTTACCACTTGAGACAGCTTTTGATTCTAGAATCTGAATAGTTGAGCTTCCAACTGTTCATATTACAAAATCAAAAACAAAAACAAAAAACCAAAGAAAATAGAAGAGTTCTTCTCGGTGTTATTTGACGTTATTTTGTTCGGAATATTTTTACATTATTATTTGTAAATAATAAAATAATGGAAACAAAATTTTCCATATATACTCTTTTTTTCTTTATCTTTTTATAAAACAAGTAACTGCAAACACAAGGTGTAAAAAATGTTTTAAAAAAAAAATTCCCGTAAATAAAAGAGCTACAAAATAATATTTAATGATTTAAAAAATTAAATTAATTGGACTAATATATGAAACCACACCCCGCATTAAATTCATCAGGAACATTTTATACAAGTGCAAATTATATTTTCAATCTTAATCAATGTAAAAATATTCCGCCCATATATATAATCTCTTTTCTTCTTCTTTATTTATACAAGTGGTAATTGAATACATAACCTAATACAAACTACTCAAATCTCTCGTCACTAGATAAAACCTAATGGCTTTATATATATATATAATCTCTTTAATTACTATAAAATTAAATAAATGCACAAATATTATGTAATTTATTTTCTAGGCTATATGAATTGAATATGTGAAGAGGGAGAATTTGAATCTTATTTTCTTTATAAGTAAATACTTAAATCCCATAACACAAGCTTCCCTCTCTCGCCCCCCCCCCCCCCCCCCCCCCCCCCCTCTTTTTTTTTTTGGTCTCGTTTCGGTATAAAGGTTGTTTTCAATGTCCATAAGTACATAGGTTATTGCATCATTAATTAATCACATGTTTTTTTAATGTTTATTTAAATAGCCCAATTTTAAACAATATACACGAAACATGAGCTGTGACATTGAATGAAAGAAAATTATAAAGGAGTTAATTAAACCTACGACAGGATATAATTCTTGACCAAATGATTTATAATAGTGTTCCATAGATTTAATATTCATACGCAATCGCAAAATTATAATATAAGGTCAATAAGAAAATGGATCCAGTTAGATCTTAACTCATCTTTACAGGTGGCTGAGATACTAAAAGATTTAACGAATAAAATACTACGTATCCAATGTTTTACATCTGAAAGCCCTAAAACATAGAATATTAAAAACTAAATAAGTTGTTGGATTGTTCCTTCGGTGTTTGTTTTAAACGGAGGCTTGAAGAAGTATAAACCCGGTGGCTTATATAGCTACGTAATAAAACTAACCACTCAAGCATGGTATAATTATAGAGAAAAATGTGCATCATTTTAAAGGACACAAAATTGTGTCATTTTAAGTGAGAGAAAAAGATAAATCATGAGAGAAAGAGTGGAGGGAAAAAAATTTAAAGTTGTGAATTTTATCTCTTTGTGAGAGTGAAAAGAGGTAAGATGTATTAAAATGACACACTATTTTCTCATAATTATAATAAGAGAATACATTTGTTATGTTGTATGAGATAAAATTATTTTATAGACACTATCTACCAAAAAAAAAAATTATTTTATAGACACAAAAAACTAAGTGAAACCCATTAAAGAAAAGGGATAATCTTGTGAAAATAATCAAATACTTGATAGCTTTCATACTTGTGTACACCTAACAAGCTACAAAGGAAGAAGGGATCAAGGAGTTCTCACATGCCATTGGAGTCAATAGCAATGATGCACCGACACTGACACGCGACACGGGACACGACACGACACGACAAGTCGACACGTTAATTTTAAAAAATGTTAGATTTCGACACGTTAGGACACGTTTTGATATTAAATAATATTTTTAATATTCATAATATAATTTATATTTAATACATGTTTCAATTCATAATAAGTCATATAATTAATTTAATATTTGAATTTTATAATATAAATCAAAAGACAAATTTTTATCCCTTGAAACTTAAAATCAATGTGGCATTGTTTTTCGGATATTTAGTTTGTATAATTTGTAAATTATGTTTTGGGACTAAATGGCTAGTGTACATATACCTAGGTATCTGGAGCTACTTTGTAGACCTTTTGATTACATTTCCTCGAGCCTTGCTTTTGATTTGACATCACTTTCTTATTTTCATGCGTTTCTTACATCCAGTGGATGAGGATAAAGCTAATAAAAAAAATATACCGACCTAGTTTTCTTCCTTCGTTTTGTGGTTTTCTTTCTTTCATTTCTTGTGTTCCTTCGTTCAGTTTGGAGGTTGATGATGGTGGTGCCATGCGACTCTTCGTTATTTGATGTTTTGAAGAGGGCGAAGGTGTATGAGGAGCGGTGCCACAACGTCACCGTCGTCTTCATCGTCGATCAGAAAGAACAATGATGTGTCGTTGGAGAGATTAATGATGGATGATGAAAGTGCAGAGCTTCTTCTCCTTAGTCCACAGATTTTAATTTTTTTAAAAATTCAAAAATGTTACGTTTTTATCCTTTGACCGTGTCGGACACAGTCAAAGTCGCGTGTCCACATAGTCAACGTGTCCTAAAATATTGACTACGTGTCAGACGCGTGTTGGAACGTGTCGGTGTCCGACACGCATTTTTTCAAAAAAATAACGTGTCGGTGTATCACAGGTTAATAGTACTATGAATCATCATTAGAGGACACCACACTGTGTTTTAAAACTCAAAATGGTCATTGACTAGGTCGAGATACTGGGTCACTGGTTCAGCCACGTTTAATCGAATTTCAAAATAATATATAATATATATATATATATTAAATTATGAATATTATGTCTAACAAATAAAAGTGGACTAGTGGTAAGTCTTTTGATTCTTAAGCAAGGGGACTCATGTTTTCACTAAGACCCGTTGCACTTGACCTCACGTGGTTATAAACTTATTACTAAGACCTATTGTGTTTGAATAATTTATCATTTAACCTCTTGTGATTTTAAATTTTCACTTACACATTGTGATTACAAAAATATATCACTTAGAAAGTTAAACCCATTGTGGTCTTATAAATATAAAAATATTTTCTTTTTCTAAATCTTATTTTATATCATTATGATATTATTAGAAAAAATAATTAAATATTAAATCAAAAAATATTTCAAGTTATTTATTTTGAAATTAATTTATAAAATATCTTAATTTTTTATTTATTTTAATAATGTATTTAAAAATTAAAAAAAATATTATTTAAGATAAATTAAATATGTATTATCAAACTAAGATATTTACTTTCTTTACATAATTTTATAATGATATCGGGTAAAAATTAGATAAAAGTAAATAATATTTGATTTAAATTTATTTTCAAGATAAATATAAGTGAATTTTTTAAATTTATTTTTGTTTATTTTCCTTAATATATAATAAAAAAAGATGAAAAAAAATTATATGTATAAAATTATAAGGATATAATTGATATTGATATTAATTTAAATTTAAATAAACAATTTATATTTTTCAGTACATAATTTTAATTTATGATATGATAATAATATAAGATAAAAGTTGATAAAAATAAAAAATTTATGTATACATAAGACCACAAGAGATTTAAGTGATATATTTTTATAACTACAATAAGTGTAAGTAAAAATTTGAAACCACAAGGGGGTTATATGATAAATTATTTAAACATAATTACAAAAAAAAAAATTTAAAATCACAGGATGTAAAATGATAAATCATACAATTACAATGGATAAAAATAAAATTTTCATTATATTTTTCACATTTTAACATTAAACCGACCGCTCAAGCGAAAAGATATGAAACTAAGCCCAACATAGGAAAAGTTTTTGTTTTCGCGCGGCTCTTTATGCAATAAAGGTGTTGCTCTTTTAAGTTTCGGGAGCAGATTTGTATATAATTTGAAAAATGACACTTTGAAATATAATTTTGTGTAAAGAATCACTTCAACCCAAAATCTTAAGGTGTTAGGTGAGGGTCTTTTTAATGTTTTATATTATTCTCTAACACACCCCCTCACACAAGAGCCCTTTTGGGCACAGGTCCAATTTTTGGTTTACCTTCTTTTGTACTTTTTTATTTAATTACACAAATGGAGGGCGGTGAGGATCGAACTCATAACCTTATGATCACTTAAGCTCTAATATCATGTAAAAAATCACTTCAACCCAAAACCTTAAAGTATTAGGTGAAGACTTTTTTAATAATTTATATAATTCTCTAGCATTTTGTAAAGGTGAAAAGTGATAAAGAAATAAAATAAAATGAAGGCAAAATGATCAATCACCCTCACATCACATAAAATGAAGGTTCTAATTACACACCCTAAGAGGCCATACGACCTTAATTATTTAATAATCTCAATCGTAAGACAAAAATATAATTATCTCAAATAATTTGCGACACACTAACCAATTCTATTCCCACTGCAGACGTTCTTGCCTTGCAGGAAGGACTCCCCCATGTGAAGAGAGAGCAATTATTTAATTTGGTGAGGGATGGCATACATTCATTATTGTAAGAGACAACTCAAGTCGTATAAAATTATATATTTCATTAAAGAGGACTGGTAGGCAAGAATCAACATCTACTGTTAAAAAATATGTCACCATATCTTTAAGAAGATCATCAATAATAATACAGTAAGAAAAAAGACAACTTTAAATCCAGCGTCACATGATGGTTATCTATGTTAATTGAACAAATCATTAATAAACTTTAAAAATATTTATTTATTCCTTAAAAATAAAAATAAGATAAAATGACTAAAATAAATTTGTAAAAATAATATTTTGGCTTGAAAGGACAATTTTAAAACTTTAATATATATATATATATATATATATATATATATATATATATCTGAGTGTCATTCATTTAAAAAAATTTGTTAGTCAATTAATTCAGTATTTTCAAAAATATTTATTTAAACCAAAGGAAAATTTAAAAGTTTTAATTGATTCAATTTAAAAAATTTCAATCGTTAACTATCTCACAGCTAAAATCTTCGACGTAAAACATGAACCAACTCGTTTTCTTTTTTCATCTAAATAAGTTTGTGACTATGATCATACTCTCGTGACTAAAATATTATAATTAAAATTCGTGGAAAATTTGCACAACTCAGCCATCTCATTTATATTTTTTTTAATACAAAAAAATTAGAGAAAACAGTAAACTCCTAACTTATAAAAAAGGAAAGTTAATAACATAAATATGAAAATTAATAAGAAATACGCAAACTTACCTGGAAAGTGACAATCTTGACAAACGAAGCCACGCAGATGTTCGAAAGTTGTGTAGAGCCCACAATAATTTTACCTTTAAATTTTTTACTATAATAATGCGAGTTATATAGTTAATAAAAAGTCAATGTCTTAGTATTTTAATGACTTTATCACATGATAATTGACTCTTATATAGGAGAAAAGGATAGAGAATAAGCAAGATTTCTCCGATGCAGGACGTACATAACGGTGATCCAATAACAATGGGGTGAGTTTAACCCTTTCTTATTGGATGTGGGACTTGGGAGAGCTTCAATTGATATAATATGTCACTATGAAAAGATCATGTGAATTTTTTTTGATTTTTTTAAAGTGAAGTGTGAAAAAAATAAAAACTCATAAATATGATTGATATAATACAGTTATGGTCGACCTCACTGACGAAAAGGTTCGATTTTCCCATATTATTCTAATTATCATAATATTTTTAACATATTACTTTACTCATCCTATTATATTGTTGGCAATTACAATCATTCTTCTACTGAAGAAATATTTCTCTCAGATTCAAGAATGTATTGAAAGAAGGAAAAAAATATCGTTGTCAAGAAATACAGATATATTTGTCTTGATTGAGAACAGATCGATGCCTTTTACATTTCTATGGTACAAATATTGTAAAGAAAATTTATTAGAAGAGAATATAATTCTTCATCTCATTTTTGAGTTCTTTGACTTATTTTTATAATGGGAAATATAGCTCTCATAAGAGTTTTCTTCTTATGCAATGAATTAACACTATGTATTATGGGTGGTATATAATTATAAATTTAAAAACTATTTTTTCTCTCTCTTCAAAAGTTGTCGACTGACATGAGGGAGAGAGAAAAATCAAATTTAATGTTATAACTATGTACTACCTATAGTACATAATGTTATTCAAGCGTTCCCGTTGGTTAATGAGGTTTTACGCTTTTGTATTTTTATTCGAAATTTTAAGTGAAAATTTTTCTGTTGAAATTGGCAACGAATTTAATTTCGTTGCAAATTTTAAATGTTAATGAAATTTCACGATGATTGCGTTTCAAAATTTTTGACGAAAAAATTTCTGTTGCAAATTTTAAATTATTCAAGCATTCTCGTTGGTTAATGAGATTTTGCATGGATTGTGTTTTTATTAGAAATTTGCCATGAAATTTTTTTCCGTTGAAAATTTCAATGGAAAAAATTCCATTACAAATATTTAATTATTCAAACAAACGAGGCTTCAAGTTGATTATTTTTGGTTCAAAATGTTTGATGGAATTTTTTTCATCGATATTTGATGGAAAAAAATTCCGTTGTAAATTTCCATCACAAATTTCTTCGGAATTAGTTTTCTGTCAAAAATTTCTATGAAATTATTTTTCCGTTGAAAATTCTCATCACTAATTTTCAACAAGATGCTTTCAGAAATATACTATCACATGCTTCATGCCACAATTTATAGGAGAATACAACACGTTTAAGGTCAGTTTTAATGGTGAATAGGAGCACAATCTTTTCAATTTTTAAGTTTCAGATATGAGACGCATACAACAGGAACTGGGAAAGAAACCTTCATTCCAGCAAAATGGTCTAGAGAAGAACAAGATATTATAGATCGGTTTATGCCTGGTTAACCAAATTATTTGTCTGAGTCAATACATAATCAAGTTCTCTTGAAAGTCGAGTTTCAAGTAAGAAAGAGAAATTATATGAACCAAATCTAATAGATTTAATCTGTGTTCAGAATAGATATCCCATGATATGCGTGCTCAACATGCAAAACCAGGACTTTCAACTTAAACTCACTAGGATCATACATGAAATGACTATAAGATGCAGAAAGTGACAGACTGAAAATGCAGGAAGAGACAGAATGAAACCAGAGACCACCAAACATAGAAGAAACAAATCTGGCTTATTTTAAACCAAAAGGCAATCTGCAATAACAAGTGAAGCTCGAGAGCATTTATTCCATTTCAGACAGTTCAGAAGCAGTAGTATCAAGCTTTCAAAGACTCTCCTGCTTTTACCAGATCTTCAAGTGCCTTAAAGATCTGTGCCTCAGTCAAGCCTTCCAATTTGATGCCTTTCTCAACACCCAAATCTAGTATTAAGGAACAAATTACAAGAAATGAGGGTTCATCATAAACAGATAACCATTGCAAAATAGTGCAAATAAAAAGGATAGGCTACAAGATATGATCAGAAAGGTTCATCAAATATAGTCAGTGACTTTCCAGTTTAAGTATACCAAAGTTCACATTACATGGGCCTTTTTATTTTCAAATTGCATTGAAGGCCCTCCACAATAAGCAAATTAATATCAAACCAAAATCACAATCCATATTGACATTATCCATAACTTCATGCTTTCTCAAAGCAGGTTCTAAAATAATTTCCCTCATTTAAGGTTCTTGCCTCCAAACAAAGATGTCATACATAATTATTTTGTTTACGTTACATAACAAAGCATGTTGATTATTTTGTTTACGTTACATAACAAAGCATGTTGACCAAATCTTAAAAAAAAAAAAAAAAGGTAGTAGTATGGTATTTACTTTCTGCAATAATCTAAAAGTATCACCAACCCCAATTAACTTGGGTTAAATGTGTTGTTGATGTTGATGTAATAATCTAAAAGTACACAATAGGGGGTATTTCTTACAATTAAATAAAAACGTGTAAAGTTATTGTGTTTTTGAGTAACAAGTATGACCAGAAAACGAGCACCAAAGAGGTTGCAGAACGCACGAAACTCATCCCCATAAATTTTTTTATTTGTTGGTAGATCATCCCCATAAAATTATTCTCTCAATTGGGATATATTATTGTAAATTGCTTAATACTCTGTACGTATTGATTCAGTGGGCTGAGATTTCAGCCATAGAGATTCAACACCTGTACAGCTGAATACAATCACACCATATACAATCAGTGTAAATGCACGAAAGTATCTGTATTATTTTGCTTTCGGGTAATAGTCAAATTTGGGATAATATTAAAATTTAGTTTTGTACTCACTACTAATACTATTATATTGTCACAACTTTGTGGTCCCTAATATGAAATTAAGGGGACAGAGCGGATTAACATATTTTCAGTCTCAGTATCCCTGTTATGAAACTAAGGGGGAAAAGGGCTTAGGAATGATGATGATATAGAATGTAAATGCAAATTACAGGGTGAAAAATTCAAATCATAAAGATAAGAATGAGATTTAAGATGGGTGATACCATATCTTGCCCATAATTGAGGTTCAACTCCACTGCATTCACGGATCAATATTGGCAATTTCGGGTTCAATGTCTTTAGTTCCTGATAATTCTTTTCCACAAATGTCCTGAGATGACAAAAAAGAATAAGAGCTCATTTTATATTCAAATATCTACTAGATACAAGAGTAACTAAACGACCGAAAGATATATGCATAATAATGCAATAAAATTTTGGCCCACATAAAGGAAAATATATATAACCTTGCAGATGAGCTTGCAGGTGATGACTGACACATCAAAAACCGAAGCTCTTTTATGTTCTTTGAAAGAAGTCCTCTCCATGCCATTGCTTCCCTGGCTCAAAGTTATAATATTTATGAGTTTTTACCTCATCACAAGGCAAGAACAGGAGGTAAAGACTGACAATGTAAGCTAAATTGCAGGCACTAGCCTGACTGGAAAAGCATATATCCAAACCCTATTCTACAATAGTAAACCATAATAACTTTGAACAATGTTTCCCAATTTCAAAAGCACACTAAATCCAAAAGTATTGCATGTCTAAATTACAAATAAGTGACAATGGATGAGAGGCCTAAAAGAATATTTTCTTGTTTTAGGAGACATATTTGAACTGTTTTCCACTGCACATAGATGTAAACACTGACAAGCAAGGATTATATAGTCTAATTCTGAAAACAAGAAAGCTCCGAAAGCAATAGCATTTTAAACTGTCCAGAAATTCATGCAGGTGGTGTCTGAAAATTGGTTCACCGAGCTTTAAAGGTTATTTTCAATTTAGCCCAACCCTTATTCAGTCTTCTTCCAATAAGCAAGTAACACTCAGCACTAGAACCTAGCAGAAGTTCTAAATCCTCAAACATGGCAACTTATTTAGAACATTTCAAGAAGCATGAAAAAAAAGCTATACCTTCCAAGTATATTACAACTCTATACCTAGGAGCTGAATATCATAGAAAATGAATCAAATCATTACAATGAGTAAATCAACTTAGCTGGATGCAAAAAGCACAATTGTTATGCACCATATTGAAAAATTCAGGCAGGGGATATATTTGTTTGCAAAGAAATAAACAAAAAAATCCTAAGAAAATAGAATACATACAGTAAAAATCTAACATTTACCAAAAATAAAAAAAGAGAGGGGTTGGGGTTCAACAAAACATTAACAAGATTGAACATTAAGAAATTACAGCTGACAAATCTTTAATTAGGAACTCAAAACACAGATTTGGATTAATCTTGGAACTATAAACTATTCAAATGAGACAGAAGTAGTTCTATTCTTATCTTCTTCTAAAAGTCCATGCCAAAGCCACTAGGTTCTTAAAATGTTGTTCTTAAGTGAATATTATATTTTCCACTAAACAAATTCTTTTCACTGTGTTTGGATACAATACCAAATAAATACTTTTTGAAATGTAAAAGTCATTTGGATGCAATATACAAAGGCGCATTTCGATGGTAAAATCACAGTGCAAGCAAAGCACTCTTAAAATTTTAAGTGTAATAATTTCGACATGAAAGCGCTTATTGTAAAGTTTATAATTTTGTTGAATATATGAAATTATACAACAAAACCTAGCCATATACCACTTAGGTGAAGTTCCCTACATGAATCAATCAACCCTACTTTCAGCTCCATCAAAAACCAAATCTTCAAAGTAGTTCCACTTATTAAGACTTTCCAACTCACCATTCATACTAAGCAAAAGCATCAAAAATAAAAATAATTATAAAAACAAATATATTAGAATCCCCAAATTGACTGACGAAGACAAATCCAAAATTCAAATTTTAACAGCATTTAATCAAACATATAACATGCATTTTACCCTAAAAAGAGGATTATGGTCCAACCTGACGTGATTCCAAACGCGACTGAGGATTGGGCTGTGATGGATGACGACGGTGAACGACGGGGTATTTTTGAGCGCTGCTTGTGGTTGCGTTCGTTTTGTTTTGTGGTAAGGAGAGAGAGGGGGCCCCACAAACTCAGAAGGGTAGGGTTGTCGTTATAAAAGTTCTTAAAGGTTAATATTGTAAATCAGTAACTAAAAAGATGGAACATTTTTTTGGCGGGGGGATGAAATACACGCTGTATAGTAGCACTTAAATAAGATTTTGGAACCAAGTCTTTGTAAATACAAAATATTCATAAAAAAATACTAAAAACAAAAAATATAGTTAGTGGTAACAAAAAATAAAAAATATATATATATATTTTTTAATTTCTCCACCCTTAATCCGTTAATTTATTTGTTAAGAGGGATTCTATTTTCCTTGTAATATGCCGACTCTAACGAAATTAACAGATACTTGTTGAGATATATAGTCTCACATTGATTGTGTGGGCAACTAATGTCGTCTTTATAAGGCCTTGGGCACTCCCACCCCTTGAGCTAGCTTTTGGGGTGGTGACCTCAAGGTTCTTAACATGGTATCAGAGCGTTCGAAATCTCACCGCCTCCCACTTTCTTTGTAGTGGAATTTCCACATATAGGTGGGCTTGTATGTTGTCCATCCTTCAAGCCCAGTGGGCTCTCGTGTGAGGGGGCGTGTTGAGAAATATAGTCCCACATTGGTTGTATGAGCAACTAATGTGAGGTTTATAAGGCCTTAGGCACTCCCACCCTTTGAGCTAGCTTTTGGGGTGGTGTATCCCAAGATTTTTACATGGTATCAGAGCCTCACCGTCCCCCACTTTCAGGTGGAATTAAAAATAAAAAAAAGCACAAAAAGGTAAACCAAAAATTGGGCCCGTGCAATTCCACGCTTCTAGCCCAAAGGGCTCTTGCTAGGGCCGGCAAAATGGGCTGAGCCCGCCGGGCTGGCCCGCCCCGCCTGCCAAATGGGGCGGGCTGGGTTGAGTCTTTCAACCCACCAGCCCGCCAAACCCGCCCCGCCAAACCCGCCAGCCCATATGGGTCAGCCCGCCACGGGGCGGGCTAGCCCGCCAAGTCATTTTTTTTTTTTTTTTAGGTTACCCAATTGTTATGTAGCTCCGTATCTTAGATTTCTCTGCTTGCAAGTGGCTTTTTTGAATTGTTGTGGACTGCTCATACAACACTTTGTTACTTGTTTTGTTATTCTATTTTATCCTGATATGATTTTATTTTTTTATTATTATTTTTGGATTGAAAGATGCATATTTATATGCAGATTATTAAACACTGATCTTCTTGGTTTCATAAGCACATTAGGATTTTATACAGATTTTTGTATGCTTTTATGCAGATTTTTTTATGTGATTTTATGCAGAATTTAATTTTTTGTATTTAATTTTTTTATTTTTTTTATTTTAGGCGGGCTGGCCCGTAGCCCGCCAGCCCACTCATAAAACGGGCCGGGTTACTCAATTCAACCCATTTTGTCAAAACGGGCCGGGACGGGCCAGCCCATTTTTGGCGGGCTAGTGGCGGGCCGGGGCGGGCCGGGGCGGGCCGGGGCGGGCTGGCCCATATTGCCAGCCCTAGCTCTTGCGTGAGGGGGCGTGTTGAGATATATAGTCTCACATTGATTGTGTGGGCAACTAATATCGCCTTTATAAGGCCTTGGATACTCCCACCCCTTGAGCTAGCTTTTGGGGTGGTGACCTCAAGGTTATTAACAATACTTGCTATTAGATAATATTTCGATTCATTATATTTTTCCTGCATCATTATTAAAGCATGTTGAACTTATGCTTGTTGCTCAGGGGTGTCATTTCGAGCCTACTTGATCCATTTGGGCAATATGGTTTTAATTAACTCATGTCAAAATAAATAAATAGAATGGATCTCACTCGTAGCATGCCTGATTTTATACGTAAATTATAAATATATTGTTAGAATAAGTTAAAGTTTATTTTTATTTGATCCTTATATTATTGAAAAATACTCTCTGTATCATATGATCATACCAATATAAATTTGGCCAATAAATAACACGTACTGAGTTTGGTCCGAATTGGAGAAACGTGGAGTTATTTGCTTGTAAGAACGATCTTTGATCTTCTAGTTGGATGGTATCCTGTGTTAGAGAAGATGAACTTCAGATAATAATGTTTGACTATATTCGGAGAGGGTGAGTACTTGCAAAATACTCCAACACTAATGTTAGTATTAAATGTATGAGAAAGATGAATATATCTTGGTTTTCACCTTTGCACCTTTGTATTTAACTATTTATAGCGTGCGACATGACCCACTTGTAGATTCATCTAACCACCTTTGTATGGTGAATTGGTGATCTGATTAAGAAGCTTTCTGATTGGTTTGCTAATGAGGTTCTTATAGATCTCATCTGCATCCGGGGTGCCTTTTGGTAGTTCAGACTTAGTTGAAAGTTCATCCATATGCCTTTTCATTATTGGTTAGGAGAGGTGGTGGTCAATTTTGAGCAATTGATTAATATCTGCTGGATAATGGACACACATATCTTAATTATGTGTTTCTTATTAGTTAAGGATGCTTTTGGGTCAAATCTCGTGATGGATCTTTACCTTAACCATACGGGCTTCTAATAACCTTTGGACCTATATTATAGGTCCAAATCACAATATAAGTATGTGATCTCAAAACATATTATTAACGATGTGCATGTTAAATTGTTAATATTCCCAAAATCATTTTTTTTTTCTCCATTTTTAAGCTGGATAATAGAAATGGTCAAAAATTATGTTTAATAAAACCCATTTATTTTTGTGTCCTAAAACATGAACCGATAGCAAAAAAAAACAAAAAATTTAAGTTATTTTTATCTTCTTCGCTCCCGGACACAGGAATAGGAAAAATTATTTCTATATAAAAACTAGGCTATATAACAAAATAGTTGTCACTTGTCAGGTATACCCTACAGAAACCTACCTACATTAAATTGCTGCATGACATATCAACCTAATAAGATTTAACAGACCCAAATATAAAGATCACCTCTGGCGTATCGTTTCTCTCATTTAGACCGACTATTAACCTTTTTTTTTTTCAATAAAATCCAAAAAAAATTATCATTTAATCTTATAATACAAAATATTCTAACATAAAGAAGCAAATATCACTACAAGAAATGCGGCGTTGCGCCACATTTTTTTAGCGACATTAAACGAAATCATGTTTTGGTAACAAAAATGCCAAACTCTCTAGCAGTGACTCTTCTATCTTAATATTTCTGCGTCTCTAGTAACTTTGTTTATGTGTTAATCTTTGTGCTGCGATTTAAGGTTGTTCCATGTCACTTATTTGATTAAATATCTCTGTTTGAGTCTAATATATAATTAGTGCATGTAACCTGTTTGATTAAATGTCTCTGTATGAGTAATATATGTGTTGAATCATGTTTTGGTATTTGATTTATTTTTAACCTTTGAGTAGGGTCATGCTGTTGTTTTGAAATTCCTTGATATTAGAGTTATTTGATTCGATTATCACAGCATGCAATGATTCACTTACTTTAATTCTCTAAGCTAATTTTATTTGAAAGACATGATTTAATGGTGCACTATGTATTGCTGATGGAGCAAAAAGATGATTATGGGGGCGATCATTCCTTTTGGTCCCTGAATTTGGAGTATATATATAATTCTTTCCATTTTAATATTCAATAACTCTTATGAATGACTAAAACAAAAACTTGACGTGATATAAAATGATTTGGAAAATTTTCAAAAGAAGTCACGTTAGCAAATAATATAACATGGTAGTATAAAGTTGTAGCGAACATTTTAATATGGTGCATATAAATTATCTGTATTTAGGTGGAGCTTATTTTAATATAGCGCATGTAAATAAACTGTATTTAGGTTAAAGTTACCAACTTAAATTTAAAATAACAGAACTAGTTATAATTTAAAATTTAAAATTATAACCGGTTAAAATTAATTTAAGAAAAAGTCAATAATATTGTATATTGCTTTGTTAAGAAGTTATATTAAAGATAAAGTCTAAACCCAAGCTCAGTTTACTCCGCTAGCCTCTAAGGCACATTGAAGAGGTTACAATTACAATCATACATCTTTAAAGTCTTTAAAGTGAGACAAATGTTAGCTTATTATACTGAATCTCACCCTCTCCCTGCATACGTGTTTCATGCACTAGATGAGAATACTTGCATCACACTTAATGGGGCCACAAGGACATAAACTGTTATGGTTCACACTCACTAATTATTGTAGAATTTCTCCACCTATAAATGCCTCTTAGAATCCTCTTAGAACCATATTAAAATGCTCGCTACAACTATATACCACAAGAACAAATAATTTACTTTTAAATATAAATTATTGTTTAAATATAATGTTTTAAACAATCTTAAAATGTTCTTCTACTCCCCAAAACATAAAACGCTCAGCTTAAATTTCTATAGTGCTTTATAATTTATTACCTCCACCTATATACTACCATGTTTAAATAACATGGTAGTATATAGTTGTAGCGAGCATTTTAATATGGTGCATATAAATTATTTGTATTTAGATAGAGCTTATTTTAATATAGCGCATGTAAATAAACTGTATTTAGGTTAAAGTTATCCAACTTAAATTTAAAATAATCAGAACTAGTTATAATTTAAAATTTTAAATGCAACTGGGCATTTAGTAATAAAAAAATGGTAAACTGTTAGATTAAATTTTAAACATTATTTAATAAATTTAAAATTAATTTTTAGTCATTAAAAGACATTACTCCTAAAACATATTATAACTTCCCTCCAATTTTTTTTTTGTCACTGTCATTTGTTGGAATTGATTTGGTTCATTATGGATGATGACAATTGTTCTTTCCTGTATCCAAAAAAAAAAAAAAAAAATGTTCTTGTGACGTCAAAACCTTTGTTCACATGCTTAATAAGTTTTGGGGGATCCTCTGCTTTTTCAAAAGGAGAGGATGAATTTACTTAAATTTCATTGCATTTGTAGGTTGAAGTTTTTCCCTTGGAATATGATATTCCTACTTGTATATAATATGGATATGATATTCCTAATTTCCTACTTATTTGTGCCCTGTTGTTTGTGTCGAGCAACATTCTTTCCC